ATTGTGAAATTTCATTGTCTGCCAAACTTGATATCAGACATGATGACACTGAGAGAAGACCTGTAATTGTCTTTATAAATTGAATAACGTGTCGCCATAGTATGTGATTTTAAAAGAACGTCCATATCTCCACACTCCAGGGTTTGTGATGACGCCACATCACAAAAGAAATGTGGAGTCGCAGTGAGCACTGCATTATGTCTGTGCTTTTATATGTGCATTAAAGATGCATGTGAGTAAGTGACTGACACCACTGTGGGGCATGTGAGTTGTTGACAGGAGGCCTATGTTGTGTTGCATTTTGTCAGTATTTCTGCTTGAGAGGTTGTCACTGGCTGGAGTCAGCACTCTTCAATTAGCCTGAATATCCAGGAGCACGGTACTCATACTACTGTGTGTGCAGCACGTGTGCATGCTCTCAGTGACACTCTGGCCTGTTCCTGCTTCTAGTGTAGACTCTCCCATAAAGACCAGGATGTTTGAGGGTGAAGGCGGGGGAGTGTAGGCGTGTCTGCCTGTGGCTTGTGAGGATTGGTTTGCTGATCTGGATATGTGTCTGGAGGAAAGGTTCAGCTGGAAGTAAGAGACAGCCAGAAAAATGCAAATGGAAAACACATTTTTCTTGGCATTGCTCCTTTTCTGTTTTGAATAAGGTCCACAATTTCAAAATTTAGGCTCACCTCCTTAAAAACAGAAAATGATGTTCCCTATTTCAGTTGTAGCATTTTAACCATGCTAACTCTGAGAGACGAGGCAGTCCAAGTAACTTCAAAACAGTGCTGATTTATTCAATGAACACAGGTAAAAATTAACATTACACGCTCAGGTATCTTGCACCTCCAACATGCATGCAGGCAGCTGAAGAATGAAAGACCCCGAACCCAACAGGCCTAATACATTTATCACTTAGGTTGGGCTAGCCCCATACTAACAGGAACGCCAAACCGTGACGTGTCCCGGTGCCAGCTTTGCAGCTGACCATGGCAATAGTCAAAACATGAAGTAAATCAATGTGTGTGTGTCTGTTGAATGTGGTGTGTAGCTAAAAACATTCTAACACGACCTCTAGTGACATGTCATGACATTAAACATAAGAAAATATTATGGCTATGGCTACAGTTATACACATCATAATAATAATATTAAACATCCTGTCTGCTGACAGTCAAACTTTTCTATCTAGTTATCCTTGACCATAAGCATCCTGCAGCATTCATGAGACTGCCCAACTAGACATCCTGTCTACTCTAAACATTTCTAATACAAGTATCTGATCAATATCTATCTGACTAAAAATACCTAACACAGTGCACCAGAGTATTTAAAGGATAAGGCTGACCATTTTCTGTATTGACATATTTTAAACGCTCCCAATCCAGAGACTAAAACCAATAATGATTTGCCTGTACTCACTACCAGTTTCAGTTTTGGATTATATTAGCCATCTGTGGCAAATGATGCACCACTGCACTGGGTGACGTGTCCTCATTACAAAACCCAAGACCCTAACATTTGTTAAAAATGTTGCCCCACAAACTCAGAATGGCTATAACTTTTTAAAGCATATGAAATAAGCAAGGGCCTATGCACGAGCTCTCTCGATATTCTTAACAAATGTCTCAGTGTGTGTGTGTGTGTGTGTGTGTGTGTGCGCGTGCGCGCATGTATGTATGTGTATATACAGTGGTGTGAAAAA